TTCTCTCTTGGAAATTTTTCTCTAACACTGGAAATAAAAAATGGTAAATCATCACAACAGAGAACAACAGAGACGAATACCTTTAGTAACAAGACTTATGCTCTACATAGTAACAGGAGTTTTGTTTTTATACAAAAGTATTCCATTTCTTTTTATAAATATATTTTTCTATATAAAAATACATGTACAAATATGTTTTTTAATTACATATACATTTTAATAGAACATATGAATACATGTTTTTATATAGACACCCCACCTAGCTAGTAGCACTGTGGTGCAGCACAAGAAGAGCTTCAACTGCTTCCCAGTCAGGGAAGAGAAGCTGCTTGCTAGACTGAAGGCTAACCTAGGACAGTAGTTTATGCTCATCCTCACATTGCTAGAAGGAACTAGGACACAAATTGTGATCTTCCCACTTGTGAATTTATCACAACTCTCTCCAACTCCTTACAGAGAATCTCTTCTTCAAAAAAAGCAGACTCTACCTAATCGGTGACTGCCTATACCTCCACTGCTGAAAGAACATCTGGATACATTTCAAAATAAGGAAAAAAGGTTATCACAATCAAAGGCCATAAAAAATTAGTAATGAGCTTGCTACATACGAAGCTGAAATTAATATTTTAATTATCCATAACAATTATTTTAGAAATACACAACAATCTAGTAAATTCAGCAGCATTCATTAAGTATACTGAAAAAACACAGGCTAAAACTGAGTAAGTCCAGGAACATTAGATTTGTTCTTCTCTTAAGTATATCGGCTCTGAAAATCTCTGAGCTTGTTTTTTCCAAGTTCCGGTACTTAATAGCACCTGTCTGTCTTACCATGATCAAGCAGATATTTAAGCGGACATAGAAACTTAAGCATTTAACTTCAGCTTCTCCAGAAATAACCTAGGTTAGTCTTCTGATAGCTATTAAAATTATTAAAACTATGTCCTCTGAAAATTAAGAGTTCTTACCACAAAGACCATGCACACAGAAACCAGCCTTTGAGAAGTTTATTTCAGATTATTTTGCATCCTGCAAGTTACTTGATTTACATAGACATAATTTATCTAGACACTTTATTACTCAGTACATGCAGATTAAGAACCAATCCTTAGGTTTTTGTTTCACCAAATAATCTGGATAAAATATCAAAGAGACATCCTTTTTAGAGAGGAAAAAGATATACCATTATTAAGCAACAACAAACAAGTAAAGGTATGAATAAATTAATGAGTAGTCAAGACAGACTGGAATGAAGTATAAAATACTCACTGGCCTTAACCAACTACCTTGCCTATTAGAAAGCCATACAACCTTCAAACACTGTTTTGATGGAAGGAAGTCTATGACTCAACATAACTGAAACACCACCTAGTTACACTTACTTTCAGTGCATCTTGAACTTCTAAGCAATTTAAAATTTAAATTAATGTAGTATTTGTTACCTGCATTTGTCGCAACAGATCATATATCCATCATCATGTGTAAAGCCACAAATGCCTCTGGTAATATCAGTTCCATAGCTTCCATCCTCTGACGTACTGATGGTAGTAGCACTAGAAGTTTCATCAAAGTTGGGAGTGGTAAATATGCCTACTTCATTCTTGCTAATAAGCACTGATGGAGGAGGAGAAGCTGGAGGCGTTGGAGGAGGCCGAGCACCATAGTTATGGTCCTAGATTTTTGTGGGAAGAAAAGTTATAGGTCTTAAATGTTCATGCACTGATTATTATTTAAGCCACAGTGTAAGAATTCACCTTTTAAAGAACTTCTGAGACTTTTTTTGGTAATAGTTTAAAATTTTGTTTGCCATTGTGCATTCTTCTCAACTATGTTTTAAAAGTGCACAATGTTCTGTATTCTGCTTCTAATCAACCATCTCTAGTCAGCTTACCCAACTGCTGATAACACATAAAAATGTAAGCATGAATCATAGTTTCCGCAGCTAAGAACAGCAGATTTTACATAATCTATTTTATATAAAATACTTTGCATGGAACTTACTGCATAGGGCAAACCAGTGTAACTGTGTGAATGCGAGCTGCTGGTATACAACTGGTGTGGGTAACTGTTCGATTTTTCAACTACCACAGGGCTAGCTTCTACAGATTCTGGTCTGCAACGCAAAAAGACAGAAGAATAATAAATACAATGAATATGTAATTTTTATTACTAAATTACAGCTATTTGCTGCATAACTTATAATTAATTGCCTGCTGTTCCTGTTTAATGCAGCATACAAAAGGGAGTGGGACACACCAAACTCACACACCCTCAACGGCCCCCCCGCAAAAGGAAGTCCAAGCCTCTTCTTTCATTTAAAATGAAGCTTCCAGAGTGGCAGAGAACTTATGCCTCTCTAGATTTACAAATTTTTTCTCAAAAAAAGTGCATGCTGAATCACATGACATAATCTGCAAATATGGGAGAGAAAAGCACGTTGCAAACCTTGTCAGGGAGTCATTAGTCTGTATGCCCAAGTTTGCAGAGTTGCAACAGAAGCTGCAGAAAGGACTCAGCGTCGTTATGACAAAAGATAAGGCGGTGACTGAGAGCTGCCAATCAAGAGAGCCCCGCGCCACCGCCGCTCCTTCAGCGACACCTGGTGGCACCACTAGCGCACCGCCCGAGGCAGCCAGCCCTGCCACTCAGGGCGGCAGAGCACCGCTGCTGCCAGCAGAAACCGTCAGCAGGGCAAAGCTACCTAAAAAAGGCACTTTATCGATTTATCTTTAAATACAAAGAAAAAAAAAATAAAAATTTGTGAGAGGTTTCATAGTGAAAGGCAGAGCCTTCTTCAATATACAAGACATAGCTTATATGCACTAAACAACAACACAAAAGAGAAGATAAATAAAGGAATATTGAACATCTTTTTAAGCACAATATATTATACCTTCATTACCTCTCCCTCATCAGTTACATCCACCTGTGCATGCAAGCATACACATACTCTCATGTCTGAGACACTTTTAGTCAGTAACTTTTAGCTTTTTTTCCATTGCACCATACAATTAAATCACATGAGGAAAAACTTCAAGTGAACCCAGAGTTACCTAAAGTTTTTTGGCGTGAGTTTGGTTTCTTTTTTTTGGTGGGGTTTATTTTTTTTTTTTTAATTGAAAGGCAGGGCAAAATATTAATATCTAAAACTGAAGTGGCTTTTTGACTGACATCACAAGTTAAGCCTGGTTCACTTTTCTAGTTTTAGTTTTATGATGTGTGAAGTCTATTTCCCATCACAAACTGATTTGTTTAAAAGTTGCTATTTCTGAACCTTAAGTTAAAATAGAGATCAGTGTTTTTTCTTAGACATTAAGATACTAAATAGAGGCTTTTTTTGTTATGCCATTAAGTGGTATTAGTCTGATTTAAAAGAACACCAGCAACTTACATTTATTGGCAACATTTTTTCTAAGAGTATAGCTTTCTGAAAGCAACACACAGTGTTTTCACATCTACTTGGAAGTATCCCACTAACATTTTTGGTGGCCCATTTCTTCTTAATAGCTTTTCTCCATGTGGGTTACTACACAATAAAATTATTTAAAAAGAAACACTAGTTAAAAACACTACTGGGTGAAGACTTCAGCTTCTGGAGTCCAAAGAAAAAACAACTTTTTTTAAAACATTAATGTCTCTAACAATGACCAGCTACATTTTTGCAGAAAGCAAGTGAACATGTGAGTACACAAATCATGTGAAGTGCTAACATAAGAAATACAACTTCTGACTAGCATGAGACAAAAAACAACTCTGATGACACTTGCCCTTCGTTACCTCATAAAACCAGAAAAATTTTCGTTTCTTCACAACACTTCTCAACTTGAAAGTAATTTTATTCAGAGTTTGTTGGAATTATCTTCTAGAAGCACCTTTTGTTAACCATGGTTAACAAAACCAGACAGAAGTTAGAATAGCTGTGCCTTTTTAACAGATTTGCATTTACCTATTTACTGACGTAATGCATTGGTGCAGTAATCACACCATTGATGTCATCCAGTTAATCCTTCTGAAGATCTAGTCCATCAAAATACCAATGAGGCACTGATTATCCATCCATCATGGCTAGGACAGAAATTAACTCAGCTTTGTCCAGTTCAAGAGGGTCTTGACCCCTATATTGCTTCTCCTGCTATTCTTCAACATTTATTGAATGGGAAAAGCAGCAGCATGGCTACTCTTATCCACGACCTGCTCAGTGCTCAACCTAGGTCTTATCTGCTTCGGTATATGGAAAATACTCACATCTTCAGAGCAGGAAGGCTTACTGATACAGGACAGGGCAGGGAATTCAGGTACAATCCATCCTTCAGCAATACCACAATTAATTTAGGAGAGTTTCCTTCACCGAAAATAAATATTACCGCAACCTAAATACCAGCTACTTCAACATGGGAACATTCAATGAAAGATACCAGAATGGAAATGACCTACAAAGAGAGGTCATGTATTTCATCAACTGCCTACAAAAATTAAAAAGGTACTCTAAATCTCTTGCAAAATATCAGGCAAGACAATACACCCTACTCCCTGAATGCATTTCTACCTACTCTAGCAATTTATAAACCACTTAAGAGAACCAAGTTTAATATTTAGAGGCATAACAGCCATGGGAAGCAGAAGAATTAAGCTTCCAAAAATGAGATACAGAAACAAATGCATTTATCCCCAACTATTTTAATCCTCATAAAACAGCTTCAGAGTACAGTGCTAAAAAGGAAAAAAGCACAACTTTACTTGAGCAAGAAAAGCCACAAAAAGGGTGGGAGAGAATTAGGCAAGGCACAAAGGCAATTAAATCTTTGTATTAAAAAAGCTTTAACTTCAATACAGAATTAGAGCAGAATCAGCTTTCAGCAAAGCTTTTTTCAAATGCTTATCCGAGGGGCCACAGTTATTTCTTTACATTATAAAAGATGCTCACCAGAGCTTTGAATGTAACTGTTACTGTTTCATTTATCCACTCAAATGCTAGACTGGGGTGGACAACAGTGTAGAAATATGTAGAAAGTGTAGAAAGACTGAGAAATATGGGAAGGAGATAGCAGAGCATTCACTGAAACTAGAAGTTAATCACCATCGGTTTCCTTTACAGTCATCAGAAAAGCAATATTAATCTCATGAGCAGCACAGAACGAGTACATTTCCCCACAGAATTACAGACAACCTTCTAACTTCTGCATACAGGTTTGCCAACACTTTAACATGCCCGTCACCAAATTCCTTGTTACTCCTCTTCTGCCTACCATGTGCATGACCTTGACCTTAAACATAAAACACATCCATCTAGACTATCCTTTGACAAAAAGTCAAGGCCACCTTCTTGAATAGGCATCTCGGAATTGGAGTTTTGTGACGGAATACATCTTGGTGAAATATTTAATTCGTACAGCTGATCAAAGCAGCAGGGCTCAAGGCACTAACTACTGCACTATAAACACACCCCTAATCTCACCACTGGCATTCTCATGGGCATCCCACAAAGTGAGCTTCCAGGAAGAAAAAGTGTAAGCATCCAGATCTGAAAGGTCTTCCTTGCTTGTATTTTTGAACATAAGCCAGTTGCGTAACAGATTGAAGTACTACGTTTGTCAGTCTTCTGAGCATACCACATTTCTCAGCTTCACTTCAAACAACTGCACCTTTAGTGTCTAACTACAGGAGATATTTATGGTTACTCTCAGTTTTCCTCAAAACGGAAATGTCTGTATTACACTATAGTATATTTTAAGTTAGACAAAAATCTTAATATTATGCCCTACAATAAACAAATATTACCATGATAAACTGACCATGACATTTTGGTAAAATGTCACATATATGTGTTAAGTGTGGTGGTCAGCAATTCAAAACTGTGCAAAATATTAAAAAGGAACAAAATAAAAAGCACCCCAAAAAGAACTTCCCCCATGCTCCTGGGCTGCAATGATTTACAACGTTCCTGTAACTTGAAAACAGGAAAATAATATTTTCTCAAATTAATAAAAATCAAAGACACCTGTATTTTAAAAAATAATTTTCATTCTGCCAATGAGACAACTCTCAAGTTCTGGGTCATTTCCCACTGTTCATACCTAGAAGTCCAATGCAAACTGAAAATATTCTACATGTTGCCAGTAGATGGCAATAGTGAGAAATCAAATAAGCAACACATGAGACCGGATCATTTATAAAAACTCAGTCCCTACAAGCTTACAGTTAACCTATATTAAGGGAATCAACTATCAAGCATGGTAAGCAGTAGTCAGTTCTTTAAAAAGTCCCGTCTCCCCTGCTCCATTCCCTTTAAATAGTTTTGTTTCTAATCATGTAATAATTAAAAAAAAAGAGGGAGCAGTTTTTGACTAACAACCAAAATACAATCAGTCCTTAGAATCTGGGGCCATCAATCACTTCTATAAAAATGTAGGTATTCAAATGGAAAAGAAAATGTCACTAAAACTATAATTTTCAAAGGCAGGTAGGTATCCAAGTTTTAGGCTATGAAAGCTTAATTAATAGTACTTTCTGAAAACATTTGTCAAAACTTCAAATTAAACTTCTTGTTTCCAGGAACACTTCAGCAGCATCAACCTGCCATACACCAGTTCGATAAGTCTACTTTTGAAGGATTTCGGGTTTGTTCTCCCTTTGCCACCAACACACCTGAGCAAGTATCTGGCTGAAGGTCAGTTCAGATAAAGGAATGTAGTATGTTTTGTATGAAAAACAGTATTTTTTATTTCAAGACACTTCATCTAACCAAACACACCTGATGTGCTTCACTACCTAGACAACAAAGAAATAAGCACTACTTCTTGATCACAGAGCGGGTTCTGCTACCTAAACATCTTGCAACAGGCCCTAGAAGTATAGGTTGGCCTGGTTTAAAAAAAAATAATAAATTTTCCTTGTTTCAACAGCAGTAATGGGAAGGTAGATTTTCATTTATTTAAGACTACAACAATGTTCACCATCTTTTCTCCTAGACGTTGAACTCAATACAATGATTCATATACCGTGGTTGTTCAGTTCATTATACAGGCCTTTTCTGCAAAAAACATATACAGATATTAAAAACAAGAGAGCAGTACCATCAATGGTATTTCCCAATGTGTAGCTTATACTCTAAGCTAGACTAACACTCTCAAATCAGGAAGTGCATTTTGAACCTTCCAAAATGGCTGACTCTGCTTACTATTACAAGGTCTTTAACAGTAAGAAGTTACGCATATTCATCTTTGGTAAGCCTTTTACAAATAAAGGCAAAATATATATGTATTCTGACTACTGTGGCACTATGAAGACCAGTCCACCACTGGAGAGTTCACTTGGGTACATGTAACATAAGAAACAGACTATTTCACCCAATTTTTAAGACATTCAAACCTTTTAATAAGTTATCTTCCACACAGCTATTTGCGACAATTATTAAAACAAGTATGTGAAACTATGCAATCACATAAACTATCTACCTTTTTAATAGGCTTATCCTTTAGTTTGAACTGCAAGGAAAAAATCTCTCAGCACTAAGAAACTGCACTATGTTAAGATATTTGTCCTGGGCTCCTTCTCCCACATAATCAGGTTTGCCATTCCCCCATTCTTGTGTTTGTTCATGCTTCGGCAACTGATGAAGCAATATCAGACCTGTCAATCACAGTGAAGGAATTCCAACTCCTCCCTCTTGGGAAAACCCCAGAAATTGCTCAGAAAGAACATATGATTGCTAACAATACAATCTATATCCAACATGCTACTCTTTGGAAGAAAACATACAAAAACATGTAAATCACATAGACCGTGATAGAAAAAGTTTACAGCTGTGCAAGCCAGTAGGTAAGGGACACACCTCTGTGTCACACTTCTTTACACAGTGACAGAGGTTTTAAATCAGAACAAGCCAATCACGCAACTACATGTTTTTCAGCAGAAGTACGACAGAGATGACATGAATTAATCTAATCGGTGGCAGTCACTTAACATCTGAAGAAACGCAGTTCTTAGCTGTATTACCATGCCACAGTATCAAGCAAATAACACACTGTGAACTCTGTATTTTTTTGTACTGACAACTACATTTATTTATTTTAATTTCAGCATCACATGCTGCGTCTGCAAGGAACATCAGCAACCTCAGGAATCATGGCCATCTCTAAACATAAAATAAAACCACAGGAAAAGATAATGAGGAGAGCCCTGAACAGGTAAATCAAGTCAAAAAATTTCTGCACCAAGGAAACTAGTATTCATGATACGAGAGATTAACAAAACAACTTTAAATATTTAAAGTTGTCAAAAAGCTTTGAATTGTAAATTACTGGTTTTCTTCAGATAAATGGTGCGAAGTTAGAATAGCCTCATATATAACTGAAACCACAGGAGAGAAACATCCCCTTAAAAAGCTGTTCAAGAGCTTTGCTCTCATTGCATAACATTTCTTCCAAAGTTTGGAGGAAAGCCATTTGCCTCCTAAATGGAGTAATATTTCTTAGCACACGCTCTCAAGCAAAGGATACATGCCAGCTATTTAAATTCGTACTAGTTACTCAATACACCTATTAAATAAAGGACCACTTCATGTTTATTTTTGGTTTATGAAAGATTTCAAACACGTATGCAAAATAAGTCTAATCCATCGTTTCACTATCTGCCAGGGAAATGTATTTTTGGGGTAACCAAAGTCTTTAACGTTACTACAGAAAGGCTCAAAGGAAGGCAAAGAGTAACAGCATCTCCAGCAGTTAAAAAAGCCTAAAAAACAATTTAATATCAATGATGAATTTAACATTTTTTGTTAGATCTAAGAAATGAACTGGTGTTTTTTTTCCCCTATGGATACGCAAAGAAGTACACAAGATTCACTGAGTCACACAAACTCTCTTGATCTTTAACAGACCTTTGGTATCTTTTGACACCCCTCTCTTCCCAAAGAAACTTCTATCATATATTCTACTAATGCAAAAGTAATAGAGAAAACAGAGGGGAAAAAAAAATATCTAGATACTGTTCTGAAATATACAGAGCTCAATGGGATGATGTACCTATGGTACACTGATAAAAGTTGTAACACCACCTTGGTCTTTTACATCTCAAAGAAACAAGTTGTCCAAAATGCTGTTTCTCCTCTCATAACATTCAACAGCCAGGCCAATATTACACACACAGAAATAAGTTTGTTTGACAGGAAAGATCTCCAGCTGGGGATCAACAACAGCTAAACTCTGTAGACTACCAATAGGCTCAGACACAACTAGAGGGATGAAAAAAAACAAAACCCAACACCCTCACATGACACACAACCCCAGAAACCCACCAAAAAAACCCCAAACAACCTCCCTCCCCAAACCAAACCAAACCCTCCCAAAACAACCCCCAACTCACCCTCCAAAAAACAAAACAAAAACCACAAAACCCAGAAATTCACAAAACTTATTTCATGCAAAGGAAGTGTTTCCTGAATTCAGGATTTCATTGGCTCTTTGTAAACCTTTATGCACAGTTATCCACAGTTACCAACTGAAATGAATGATTAACAAGTGAATTTCCACTAGCTTTTTGATATAAAATAGTTTTGTGAAGACATGGTATTAGACAAGTTAAGCCAGGCCTTCAACTTTAAAAAATAAAGGTACCTTTGTCTCATTAATACCACTTTCTTGCAATTTACCACAACAAGTGAATTTACAACATGGGAAATCAAAAATATATTTTTTATATACAGTGAAAAGGAAACTGGAATGGTAAAATACTTTAAGTACAAAAAGCACACCAGGCAGCATCTGTATTTCTCCATCTGATAAGCAAAATATGCATCTGTAGAACAGTTTAACTTCCCACCTCTGCTATCCCTGAAGAGGAAGAAACTGACTTAAGAATGAAGTGACAGTTATTAATTTAAGTCATTAAAGATTCAATAAAACTGAGGAGACTCCTAAGTCCTCACCAACTGTATTTAAAAAAAAAATTCAAGGAAAAAAATTAACACAATAATAAAAAGATAAGAACACTTACAAATTGTGGTCACATACTTACTCTGAGCCTGCAGCCATTTCCAAATAAGAAGTATCTGTTGTGTCAACCCCCAATGGGATTGCTATGCTCATGACGTTCGTTTCTGATAAATTCGATTACTACGGAGTCCTATGCATTGGTATCCAAAACACTGGGGCATGCCAGCCACAGTGCTCATTGCAAACATCTAAGTGCATCCACAAACCCTGTTAGGAAAAAAAAATCACACATAAAAAACCCAAAAACTTTTATCTATTGTATTTATTTCATTAGTTTTACTCTACACAAGCAAAAGAAAACAATCTTTTTTAAAAGTTAACTCCAAATATACTTACTTTAAGAGTTTGATGATCTTAACTCCTGAACTTAAAAACATTACAAACTGACAAAAACATTATAATTTAAACTGGTGATTAAGAAAAATCATTCATCATGTCTAGTGAGGTGAGAAAGATTCACTTTAAGGCAGACTTACTGAATGTCAAGTACATTTGCTTACAGCTCTACACTGTCAGAGTCCAGTTGCTGTAACTTTCACGAGAAACCTGGTTACAGAATTTTTCAAGTATTTCTTAGAAAGTATTTTTCACTTCTGCACTTAAAAAAAAAAAACAAACAAACTTCCAATGTCCACAATACAAACTAAGGATGTCAAAAGAAACAATGACGTTAACTTCCATTCTGTATTTTTTTTAAACCAAAACCATTCTAATGATTCACAACAATGATATGAAACAATTTCCATCTTTTTTAAATACATCACCATCAGAAGACATACCCACCAGGGGCCACTTTTAGACGTGTGTTAGAAGTTTATTTTCCTTAAGTAGAAAACTAAAAAGGATCAGTAGTAGTTTCTAATTGTAGAGCAAAGCTACAATCTGCTTGACTCACACAAGTCAATACAACAATCCCACCCGTATGCCAGTTATTACTAGTCTCCCGTTCCTTTTACCCAGTACGGCAGAACACCCAATCAAGTATAGGAGAGGACACGTACGTAGCACCTCACCCATCTCCATTCACAGATTAGTAAACTAATGCATTTTTATAGCCTAACACAGACAAGGTTTTCCACAAGTGACTAGGTAACTGAAGCAAAATAACCCCATTTTCAATAGCTGCATAATGAATAACTGCAAAATCCTTCCAAAATGTTGAAACTGCAAGGACACAGATCACATAGCAATGAAGCATATACAGTGCCTTAATAAACACACTCCTCCCATCTGACAAAATGCAGTGTCTTAGTTGAAGTCTAGAAAAGTCCAACAGTTTTTGAGATCAGCTTATCTTAACACACTCATCCTTGCCAAACAACACTAGTTTGCCAAGAAAAAACTAACAAGCTTCCAGTGAAATTTGAGGTACTTATAAAAAAAACTTGAAAGGCACTGTAGACTTAAATCTGAATTTGCTCCTTTTATTGATGACGTTGGTATCTTCAAGATGGTGAAGTGGCATTGGCAGAGCATCTCTAAGTTACGAACTGGCACCAAGTCTTCATCTAACTTCTCAAATTTTCTCTCACTACTGAAGTCTGGCAATTAACTACAAACATCTCGGCATGCTCTTAGTGCCTAAACTTTCTGCAGTTCACTCTTCCTCTAGACAGCCGAAATTGTGTTTTGGTCCCATTACACAAGTCACCAAATAAACTGGAAAGTAATCAGGCCAAATAGCTGTTGGGATAGCTTGCTTTCCTCATTTAAACACTGAACATTTTCTTATCAAATACCACAAATGTCAAACTATATCACTAGCTATGCGTAACATTAAGGAAAAACCATACTATTTTCAGGAATAAGCAGCAAGAAAAAAACCTGTTAAATCAAAAGCAGGGATAGAATATTTTTAGTAGCAGTAAAAGAAACCCCAAGTCCTTCTTATAGCTTAAGTAAGCATTATTATTACAGCTTAAGTAAGCATTCATTCTGTCACCATATAGTTTACTCATAGCATAGAACCTTGACTGGCCTCACCTACAACTTACAGGAAACATCAACTCACCATTTAGTTCTCTCCTTCTGAAAAAGTAAAAAAATTATATTAATTCCAATAATTGAGAGGAAACCATTGACTTTTTTAATCCAGGTAAATCAGCTATCACAGGTTAAGGGTTGTTCCACTCTACCAACTGCAGTTTCACCTATGCTAACACATCATTAGCATAATAGGGATTTTATTTTTATGCTTGTAACTAAACAATTCTAAAAAAAACAGGCTTTGTGTTGTTTCACACAGGTCTACAAGACATACTGAACATCACTGCCCGGGATCAAGATCCCCACCTAGACATTTCTCACATTTTAAAAAAAAACAGGCTTTGTGTTGTTTCAAAGTAGGTCTACAAGACATACTGAACATCACTGCCCGGGATCAAGATCCCCACCTAGACATTTCTCACATTTAAAATTGCTTTCGGTGGAGGTGTGATTTTTCTTTATTGAACATTCCTTAAGCGCTACTGACTAGGTAGAGTAACAACTGAAAACTAACGTAGGCAAAACTGCCCAGGAGACTGACCGAGGTGAAAAACCTGCCTTATGACAACTGCCTCATATCACATCATCACATCTGTAAACTTACATAAAAAACCAGAGGTCACCCAAACAGCATATATTCAAGTGACCTTCTTTGTCAAGAAATGTGGTTGCCAAAACTGAGAATTAAGTGAAATCTGGGGCTTTGATGCAGAAAAAGAGAAATATGCATATTTTCAGAGATATGTATAGACAGAAAATTAATTGCTAATGCATGATTCAATTAATGCCCTCATCTCTGATGAAGCAAATACATCACCACTCCTGCAAGAAAAAAAAAGTGGTGCAGAAGGGGAACAGAGCCAAGATAAACTTTCTACCCTACTGTAAGCTACTGAAATACATCTTTAAGCCTTAGTCAGAAGTCACCCAAAAATTCTAAGAGACTAATCTACACTGAATAAAATCAGAGACTTGAAGAACTCAAATTTATTTTGCCAAACAGCATCAAACAGGAGTTGTTTCATCTAAAAGGAATCAGAACATGAGCGTAACACTACGTCATTATTTTTTACCACCTTAAGATTTCAGGTCTTCACCACACACACAAAACCCTCCAACGCTTTTCCTCTGACTATAGTTAAGTATGGAAGAATGGAGGCACTCAACGGCTCACAATACCGTTAACTCAAACAAGCATAGCTCATTACTTATGAGTACCTGTCCTCAATGAATTCCTGGAATGGCGTGAGAAGGGGGAGATGTAGGATAAACTCATTACGCTATGCCCAGTTATTAACAGAACTGCGACCTTACAGGCCATCCAATGACAAACACCACAGTCATGTCAGATTTGGGATGAAGGAAAATAATTATTTTCTGTCATGTCAGAACACAAGTATTGTCATGACACTAAAATATTCCCAGTATTTTTATTGGATTACACTACAAAAATTGGAGAGTTCACAACAGAAAATAATGTAACCACTGGGGAACTTTCCTCCTTATCCATCTTGAAAGTGATTGCTTATCCTTTGAATCTTGATATTTTAGATGAGTCATAAATACTATCTGCTATCATTAACACAGTACTTTCCAAATTCTGCAAGTACTCTTCTATTTCAAGCCACTCTTTCAGAACTGACAATCTGTCACCCATAAGCTTCTAAGAAACTGTTTTCATAGGTGCATTTTATTTAAATACCTGGCCAGGGGGAGTGGAACGAAGGGTGCTAGAGAAGATTTCTTCCTGCAATCCAAGCAGATTATACACAACTTACTGTTTAAGAAAGTCTTTCTTCAAGCAGTACATAAATTTTAAAGTTAGAACAACCACAGTGGTTTGTCCAGTTAATTTCAGGGTCACATAATTAAAAGGCACTACACAGAAACTGCTGGTCCAAAGTTCAATGATCTGCTCTTTATTGGGCAAAGTAGGTGATCTACCATATATAAATCTCAATAGTAGAAGACCTCAAATTTTGTTAGGGCCCACTCTATTCTTTTCGTGATAATACACAATAAGCTTTGAAATAATTTTGCCAATTTCTTAGGACTCGTCAGATTTTCTTCATTATCACCCTACCAGCACAGTTTTATTATATAAAAACGTGTTCCTTATTTTAAAAAATTTTGCTTTTACTTAATTGCAGTTAAAAAGTTTATCTTGCCCTAAAAATACTATTGTCATCTTAAACAAAAAACTTATTGTTCCATCTGGTTAAACAATTTATCTTGTGCAAGATGAAACTCCTGCAAGAAACCTATCACACTGTACCATTCAATCACATTAGCTTACATTTTCTATGGCAGTTCTTCCTCTCTAGAGAATACACAAGAGCTTTTTGACTTAATAGCCATATAAAGTCTAAAATATTTGAAGTCTCGCCATACTTCTCAGGATCCACTTTGCTTATGATACTAGAACTATTTTTTTAAATGAACTATGCTCTAACAACAGAAGTTTAAGAGCACAATACATACCAAATTATTCATCTGTGTGGCTTTCTACAAAGAACATCATTTATGCATTAAACAACAGAAAATAAGTTACATATCCCTGAGGTATTCCACTTGCACAACATTATTTTGTGGTCTAACAAAGACCACATGTTTCCTTTCTGCCATGTCCTTCTAAGATCAACTGTGTGACAGCAGAAAAAACACACATATTCACTGGTACACAGAGGAGGAAAAAAACCTCAAAGGGCTCAACTCTTGAATCAGAAGTTAACTGGGCAATCTCCTGAAATTACACTGGTATTTCTGAACCTAATCCTGCAGAGTCCAAATGTTAGAACTAAAACCAGTTGCTATTATCAGATGTTGGCAGAAGGGAACTCTAGGCCTATTTCATCAGCATGTCTTCTTTCCCTCCTTTCCACTTGATTCTTGTAGGACCATCAAAAGCTATACAGAACAGTTTCAGGAAACAAGCAGATGATAGATCACCTAAACAGAAAGTACATTTGAAAAATAAGAACTTGAAGTCTAGCCAAACTGATCAGATGATTCCAACAAGGTTTCATAATCCCAGATATCAATCATCCTCTAAGTGTCAAGAGTCCAGACAAATTCTTCCATGGCATTTTCCATGGAAGTTTCTTTTTGTTTCTTTTCTTTGGGGTTTTTGTTTTTTAATTTTTGGTTTTTTTTTTTTTCCCCTAGGAAGGTAGGAAATTTTTTAAAAAACATTTAACCACTTTCACTTGCATTTTCTTTTACA